CCCCCCCAACCCCCCCCCCCCTCCCCGTACACAGTTGTATATCTTAGTTGCAGGTCCTTCTAGTTGTGGGATGTGGGACGCCGCCTCAACGTAGCCTGACGAGCAGTGCCATGTCCATGCCCAGGATCCGAACCCTGGGCCGCCGCAGGGGAGCACGAGAACTTAACCACTCGGCCACAGAGCCAGCCCCTAAATGTTATCTAATTTTATCTTTCTGTACAACAACCCTGTGGGGTTAACATGATATCTAATTTTAAAGATGGGGAAATGAGACTCAGGGGCTAAAAAAAAAATTGCCCTGGGTCATGTAGCTAATGAACTAGTAGAAGTGGGGTTTAGAGCCCAGTGTCTAGACTCCTCATCTGGTCTTCCTACTGCTGTTATTCCAGGCAGGTGGTAGGTGTGAACAAAGGTATCAAATTGAAGAAGCATGGAGAGTGTTTGGGAATTATTGAACGGTTTGGTAGGGGGTGGAAAGCAGAAGGTGTTTAAAGGGAGGGTGTGAGACAAGGCTGGCATGGTAGAGTGGGCATGCACATCAGCCAGTGGCAGTGGACTTGACAAAACTGTGTGCACTAGGGGACTGTGGACAGTTGTGAGTGCAGATATGACACACTCAGGATTGTCTGTTATGAAGGTTAATCTGGCTTTGGGGTAAAGCATACATTGAGTTGGGAAAGATGAGAGATCTCTTAGAAATCCTATGGAAATAGCCTTCCTCCATGAGTCATTCAACAAACAGAATGCCTGTATGTGCAAACCACTGTGCTCTGCACTCCGAGAAGAAACAGACACGGGTCCTGCCCTTAAAGAACCTGTCTCATAGGAGAGATCAATTAACTTGGGGATATTAAAGCATGTGGTCTTATAGCTGTAATCTCTAAGGAGGTACAGCCAGAGCCCCGCCTTTGTGAAGTTCTCCACTGGATAAAACCCACTAGGTTAAAGGGGTCAGAAGTGAGTTTTTGGATATCTCTTTGGACTAAAAATTGGGTTTTCTTTCTCACTGTTTGCTTGGATGTTTGGATGCTCACCTCTCAGTATAAAAACAAATTGTGACTCACTGCCTTTGTTCCCTCTCCTTTAAGCCCTTGCTCTCCTTCCTCAGAGCGAGTTAAGGTCAGACACCGCCACGGGGTTTACAGGGGCTCAGGTCAGTGCAGAGCCCTGCAGAGCAGGGGTGGGGCTGGCGCAGCTTCCTTCCCTCCGTCTCCACCTGGCTCCTCCTCCTCTTCTCTCTGAGACTGGACTTCTGGTATCTCCAGGTGCCATGAGCTCCTCCCATCCTGGAATCCCTTTGCCTCAGGAAACATGGAACAGCTCCCACTTCTGTTCGTCTTTGGCTCAACTTGTCCGCCTTTTGTTACTCCACCTTCCGTCAGCCACTGGGTGCTTACGTAACAGTTCTTGGATGTTTAAATAACAGTTTTAGCAGAGACACTCCTAGCTTTTAAATAGGTCTCCTTTAAACTGGACATACAGGTAATAGAGAAACCAATACGTTATTATTTTATTCTCCACTTTTTTCTTCTTCTTTTCCTTTTGCGTGTTTAAGCCTCTCCTCTATGCCTGGGACTGTGCTGTGAGAGATGGAGCAAGAGGCAGGGTTATTTATTTATTCATCAAAATTTTATGGAATTCCCTATGCCAGGCATTTCCCAGATAGATTTCTCTTTTGGATTCCAGCTCCTCCGCAAGCAGCTACCACTGGTTAGATTGCTGCCCATGCCCTTGACCCTGAGAAGCTAAAAATCATTATTTCATTTGTTTTTGGAAGTCTCCCTCTCCTCTCAACCACCATTTGCATCTCACACAGCAGCTATTAGGGAGAAAACCTGAGGAAAAAGGACTCTGAAACCAAGAGGAGTTCCAGACTCAAAATAAACAACAGAGCTTTACAAGGCTCTCTACCCTCACTGTTGCCCTTGTCGTTGACTCTTCCTTACCGAAAACTACTAGGGACCTGAGGAAACCTTTGTGCTAATACTGATATGATTGGATTTATCATCGTTGCCTAGGTGCGTGTCATTAAATATTTACAGAGTTGTGCACAGTGCAAGGTGCTCTGTCGTACATAGTTATACTGAAAACAAAGTTTCTCAGAATCCTCAAAATCACACTGTTAAGAAGTAACTGTGGAGACAGAAGCTCAGAGAATCAGAAGAGCCAGGCTCTAGTCCCACTTCTGTCATTTTGCCTCAGTCTCTTCATGTTTTAAGAAAGAGTTGGAGAAGTGGGTTTGCACTTCCGGTTTGGGATTCTGTGATCCTGACCTCATCACTTTCTTTCTACTATTCTCTTATCACTTTTTTCTTCTCTATGCAGCCGTCTTCTCTCTCTCCCCTCCCCTTATCAGCCCAGCTTACATCAACCCCCTTGCCTTAGTTGACAGGTAACAGCTTCTGGAACCTAGTGCACAAAACATAAGCCTATTAGTCCAAGCTCCTGGGGGAATAAGGAAGAGAAAGCCATTCTTTTCCTTTGTTGATGATCTTCTGGGGAAACTGAGTCCCTTTTTTCTTACCAATCTGTGAACAAGTGGGCATTATGGCTGAGGTCCCTAACTGCTTGTCCTCCTCTTAGCTGCAAACTTTAAAAGAGGTTTTGGGGAAATAAATGAAGGCAGAAATAAGTTGTTTTGCTAGATCCCTCTGTTCTCCTGGCCGCTCTCCTTGTCAAGTAGTTGACCTGGGCCATTTGTTACAGCTTCTGCCCAACAGAGTAGAGAGAAATTAGCTTATGATGACCAGAGGTCATTTATTAAGTTCTTAATTGATTAGAGCCTCATGCTTGAAATGGCATTTGGTTGTGAATTTCTTGAGGGCACGTGGCCCAGGCCT